GACGAGTCAATGGTGCCTATCTTGGGAAAGGGTGTAGTTGTTTTAGAATTTACTTCTGGAAAAACAATTATGTTGTTTGATGTTTTGTATGTACCGAAGGTTCGAAAGAATCTTGTTTCGGGAAGTATGTTGAATAATTTAGGGTTCAAACAAGTGATTGAATCCGATAAATATATTCTGTCCAAGGGTGGTGTGTTTGTTGGTTTTGGATATTTATCAAATCGCATGTTTCGTTTAAATGTTGTGAATAAATTAATTCCTAGTGATAATTCTGTTTTTGTGGCATCTTCCATGAATGATTGTATGATTTGGCATGCTAGATTAGCTCACGTTAATTTTAGAAAAATGCATGAAATGTCTAAAGATGGTTTAATTCCTGCTTTTGATATTAATGATGATAAGTGTAGGACTTGCATGCTTACTAAGATCACAAAACAACCGTTTCCTAATGTTGAAAGGAATTCGGCTATTTTGGATCTTATACATAGTGATCTATGTGACTTTCACTCAACTCCTTCCCTTGGCAATAAAAAGCATGTTGTTACTTTTATTGATGATTCAACTCGGTTTTGTTATGTGTATTTATTACACACCAAGGATGAAGCTTTAGAGAAATTTAAAGTGTATAAAACCGAGGTTGAATTGCAATTGGGTAATCCAATTAAATGTCTTAGGACTGATCGGGGAGGAGAATATATGGATCCCCATTATTTTCAATCTGTTGGAATCATTCATGAGACCACGGCTCCGTATACACCACAACAAAATGGTGTGGCCGAACGGAAAAATCGAGTGTTAAAGGAAATGGTTAATTCCATGCTTTCCTACTCGGGTTTGAGTGAAGGGTTTTGGGGAGAAGCCATGCTCACGGCCTGCTATGTTCTAAATAGGGTTCCAAATAAAAGGAACAAGACAACCCCATATGAGCTTTGGTACAAGAAAGCGCCGAATTTGAAATATTTTCGGGTTTGGGGTTGTAGGGCGGTTGTAAAATTGCCCGAGCCCAAAAGGAAAACTTTGGGGGAAAGAGGAATTGATTGCATATTCATAGGGTATGCTGAACATTCCAAGGCATATAGGTTTTATGTAATAGAACCTAATGATGCGGTAGCGGTTAACACCGTGATTGAGTCTCGGGATGTGATCTTTGATGAGATGAGATTTTCATCAATTCAAAGACCAAAGGACCTAGTTCCAGGCACTAGTGAGGTGCAAGTTCCAGAATGTTTGGATGGTGTTTTGAATCCCGAAGCACCACAAATAAGGAAAAGCAAACGAGGCCGCATCGTGAAAGACTTTGGTCCCGATTTTCACTTGTATTTAGTGGAAGGTTCAAGGGATGAAACGGGGGTACAATATTCATATTGTTACCAAGTTGAGGATGATCCAAAGACCTTTAAAGAGGCAATGGAATCCCGAGATGTTGCCTTTTGGAAGGAGGCAATTGATGATGAAATGTCATCAATTATGGAGAACAACACTTGGGTGTTGTCGGATTTTCCACCGGGTTCTAAACCCTTAGGTTGCAAATGGATCTTCAAAAAGAAGATGAAAGTGGATGGAACTGTTGACAGGTTCAAGGCTCGGTTGGTCATTCAAGGTTTTAGACAAAAACCCGGAATTGACTATTTTGACACGTATGCGCCGGTTGCTCGAATTACAACCATTAGGTTGTTAATTGCTTTGGCGGCTATACACAATCTGATTATACATCAGATGGATGTCAAGACGGCATTTTTAAATGGTGATCTTGATGAGGAAGTTTACATGAAACAACCGGAAGGTTTTGTTATGCCGGGACATGAGCATAAGGTTTGTAAACTTGTTAAATCATTGTATGGGCTGAAACAAGCACCCAAACAATGGCATCAAAAGTTTGATGAAGTTATTTTGTCCAATGGTTTTAGTTTAAACCAATCGGACAAGTGTGTCTATAGCCGATTTGATGCATTCGGAGCGGGTGTGATCATATGTCTCTATGTTGATGACATGCTGATTTTTGGAACGGACCAAAATCAGGTTGATGAAACCAAAAGGTTGTAATCATCAAGGTTTTCCATGAAGGACATGGGGGAGGCGGATGTGATCCTTGGTATAAGGATTAAACGGGTAAACAAAGGGATTGCTTTGACACAAGCTCACTATGTTGAGAATATTCTCAAAAGGTTTAATTATAGTGATTGTTCACCCGTTGGTACTCCCATGGATCCTAGTGTGAAGTTGATGCAACTTGAGTACTCTCAAGCTATTGGTAGTTTAATTTATGTCATGACAAGCACTCGGCCGGATATTGCTTATGCCGTGGGTAGGTTGAGCCGGTTTACTAGTAATCCTAGTACTCAACATTGGCAAGCAATGAAGAGAGTGTTCAAGTATTTAAAGGGAACCATGGATTATGGTTTGTGTTACTTTGAGTATCCTTCGGTATTAGAAGGATATTCGGATGCAAGTTGGATATCCAATGTAGAGGATCACTCTTCTACAAGTGGTTGGGTATTTTTGCTTGGGGGAGGTGCCATTTCTTGGGCATCCAAGAAGCAAACTTGTATCACAAGTTCAACGATGGAATCTGAGTTTGTTGCGTTGGCTACCGCCGGTAAAGAGGCGGAGTGGTTAAGAAATTTAATTTTTGAAGATTCCATTGTGGGGGAAGCCGATTGCACCTATTTCTATCCATTGTGATAGTGCTACCACTTTGGCTAAGGCGTATAGTCATGTTTATAATGGCAAGTCTAGACACTTAGGTGTTAGGCATAGTATGATTAGAGAACTAATCATGAATGGTGTAATTTCGGTGGAATTTGTAAGATCGCAACATAACTTGGCGGACCACTTGACCAAAAGTTTGGCCCGGGACTTAGTGCACAAGTCTGTTATAGGGATGGGTTTAAAGTCCATTTAATCCTTAATGGTGAGACACCCAATTCCCCTCTAATACAACGTTAGAGGCTGAATTCAATGCGGAAAGCTCACACTTAATGGATTGGAACACACAATGAAAATCATCCCAAGGTGTGTGTTCGGACCTGTAGTAGGGAGGCTGAATTTATTTCTTAATAATTCCTTTGATAAAGTGTAAGCAGGTACACGAGTAAAGGAATTACCTATATGATCGTGAAGTGTAGCCGCACTTCAAAAGGCTTGGGACTTGGCTTTTATACGGTCATGAATGGGATTAGGACACACGGCTTTATAATTGTGTCAAGTTTGTATTCTAGTTGAGTATTGAAACTTGTATGTATTTTATCTTGAGGTATTCAAATGGGTTGAAGGGTTCAATCTGTAGGACACCCCGATTCTCGAATATTTTGAATGTGTAAAATACTAAGATGGAAATTCAATCGTATCGACATTTCCATTTATGTGCAAGTTTTGGTTTGTAAGCTTTGTTATGTCATTTCATGGGTTACACTAAAATGGGGGAGGATTGTTGGTGATTTTAGTGTCACCGGCCATTTTGTGTAATTGGAAATGACATGAGTGCCAATGGGAATTAGAACTATGATCTAATACAAGTTAGTAGGTGTGGAGTGCACACTTGTATATAAGAACTAGTTTAGTTCCAAAGTGTCTACGTTAGTGGAACTCGAGGTAGAACTCGAGGTATAACTTTCAGTAGACCAGCTCTGTGGTTCTAGACCGAGTTCTAGAACGGTTAGGCAGTTTCGAGCAGTTTCCCAAAAACTGCTGCGGTTATTCTTAATCGTGTTACTACTGCCTAGGACGATGAATATGGATATATACCACCATATTTCGTACAGAGGAGAAGGAGGAAACATGTCCAACATATCTTCATCACTTTGGCACTCAAATTAAAGATAACAATCCATATACTCGACTAGTTTGGCTCTAGTTCTTGTGCCTAAGTTCTAGAGTGTCCTTAAGGATTTTCCTAGATTGAATTTCTTGTAACCCAGGCATAGGGGAGAAATATCAATTCGGAAAGTGAACTTACACGATCCTTAAGAAATCCAAGTACTCAAATTATCACCCCCTACGTGATTTACCCCAACACATCCAAGAAAATTCAGAGTTTGTTCCCTTCTACTTTATTTCGTATGCATGGATTTCTATCTAGTATGCATGCCCTAGGATATTTGTAGTCACTGACTTTTTTTCTTTTCGTTTCTCTCTATTAGTTTACTAGATAATTATAATTTTTGAATCATGTTTTTTTTTAAAATCGTATAATTTCTGTTCAATTTAATCTTGTAATCATAATTTATTTCTACGTAGTTGTTTAGTACTACGTATTAAATTGTCACTTATCCAAAATCTTTAGAGTAAATTTTTATCTTAATAAATTTCATTTATTTACTTCCCCTTTTTTTAAATTATAAAGTGTATAAAATTGAGGGTGTTAACAATTTTTTTTAAATCCTTACGAAAAGCCTCTTGCATCATCGAAGCAAAAAGCCTTTTCTTAGGAGTGTCGGGATGACTTATTGTCTTAACAAAAGTTCCCCAAGAAGGGTAAATCCCGTCAGCTAAATAATAACATTGATTATAATGCTTACCATCTACCCGGAATCCCACCTGAGGGGCAGATCCATTTAGAACAGAATCAAACACGGGAGAGCTAGCTAAGGTGTTCAGGTCGTTATTGGAACCGGCAGTGCCAAAAAATGCATGCCAAATATGAGTATCATAAGAAGCAACTGCTTCGAGTACAATTGTTGGTTTTTTTTATACCCCGTGTACTGACCGCCCCAAGATGTAGGACAATTTTTCCACTCCCAGTGCATGCAATCAATTGACCCAATCATCCCAGGAAAGCCTCTCTTTGAGGCCTTTTCAAGAAGACGATGTAGATCCCTAGGGTTATAGGTTCGTAAGTACCAAGAACCATACACACTAACAATTGCCCTACAAAATTTCTTCAGGCATAAAAGTGTGGTCGTCTCACCCAAACGACATAACTGGTCTAAGGAATCAGCCGAGCAACCATTGGCGAGCATAAATATCGCACTAGTAAGTTTTTGTTGAGGAGAAAGAGATACCTTATTTGCAGCATCAGCTGTACTTAGGAAATAAGGATCAAAGGCCATGACATCTGTCATGATTCGATTGAACAAATGTCGTTGCATGCGAAATCGACGCCGGAAGATACGTGCGTTGTAGGTGGGATTTGGATTCCAGTAATCATCCATCAACAAACGTTGTCCAGCTTCTCGACCACGATCTATGTACTCACGAGTGTTGGAGCTCGTTGCAACTAAAGAAGCCATCATAGCCATTCGCATGCGGTCGGAGTGAGCGTCTTCTTCTTCATCTTCATGAATGGATTGGTAAAATGAGGGAAAAGAACTCATTATTTTCTATGGGAGAAGTTAAGGTAAGTTGTGTGATTCCAATGTAAAGTGAGAGCATGTATTTATAATAACATTTATTCTATGTAGTAACATGGTGGTAAGAGAATCCAATGTAATATAAGAAAGTGTACAGACCAAGTGGAGGATAGATCCAATTAATTATAATTGAATACACCAAGTGGAAAATAGCATCCAATGCTAGGAAAGGACACCCATAGTGGAGAATAGCATCCTATGCTACGAAAGGATACACAACTTGAGAAGATAATCCAATGCTCCAATGTGCTTGAACTCAGTTCGTTAATCGAAAAACGTAAAAAAAATTAATTTTTTTACATCGAAATGTGTACTTTCTATTTTATAATTATTCAGGGAAAAAAATAAAAGTAAAACATTACTTATAATAATTTACTTAATGTTTTACTAAATTGATATGTAAAAAATATGCAGAGTGTATTTTATAGACGGCGCACGGATGCAGGGAAAAACAGTATTGACGGAGTCTAAACACTGTTTTCATATGGACAGAGTCCAAATTTAACAATTTGGACTCTTCAACACTACAAATATTTAACAATTTGGACTCTTCAACACTACAAATGGTCTTACATGATTCCTTGATGGTTGCATGCCCGAGCATGGTTGCAATCAAGAATATAAAAGCTCTGATCTGTTAAATCAAAGTAACACCACCTGGAAGCGTTGTCTCTGGATGCAGGGCATCAGACAAATGCAGCCTTCAAGGTCCACCCATGCCATCATGTTAGGAATTCGATAAAATGTGGCTCTTATATGATACTCCCTCCGTCCCTTATAACTTTGCCAACTTTCCTTTTTTGGATGTCTCATTAACTTTGCCACTTTCCCATTTAAGTAAAGAATTTGTGGTTCCAGTTAATTCTCTCTCCTCTGCACAAACCTCAACCACACGGTTTTTACTTTATTAATCCACGTGCCGGTCAAATTTGGCAAAGTTATTAGGGACGGAGGTAATATTATTTAATATTAAATTAACATACTTAAAGACAGGGGCGGATCCAGGAATGTGAGATGCTATGGGCTGAATAGATATTATATTAGGCTTAAACATTAGTGGGGTTGGCTAAATTTGAAAAACGAAAAAATTTACCCTAAAAAATCGAAAAGTTTCTAAGTTGCCCTAGACTTCAACCCACCATAGCCTGTACATAGATCCTCCCCTGCTTAAAGATGTTGATGTCAAGTCATATTTTTATCTATTATCCTTATTTTGATCATGTATTAGGTGTTATTTATTTTTGTTAATATATCAATATTTTAGCATTAAATTACTTTTTTCAGTTCTAGTTTTTGTGCAAATGATAAATTTCTACTTTCGTATTTGTAAGTTTTAGGACTCCAAAATCTTTTTTGTTGTTGAAATGAGAGAAGTAAGATGTTTTTGAATATCTTTATTTATTACTACTATTAAATATTTATAATAGCTCTAGGAAAACTAAAATAAAGGATAAAAAATCAAAACATGTTTACCCGCCTAAACCCCTCTTAAGTTCGTCTAGGCTCCAAAGGCTTGATTGTGCTGTCTCGACAAATTTTACGCCTTTTAGAACATTGCTTATAAGTATCAAAGAAGTAAGAGAGATCTCCATAATAGTGGCCGTTATTGGAATGTGACCAAGCAAAGTATCATAAATATTCCAAAATCTATACACAAAATATTTTCCAAATCAAATAACCAAGGTACCCCCGTCATGGTATCCTTTTAATTTCACTCTATCTATTTAACCACAATATCTTGGAGAAGAAAAGAAATCTAAACAATCGTATATGGATCTCTGAAATGGTAGACCTGGAATGCAATTGTTCCTCACATCAAGAACCCCACTAGCAACCAGGCCCATACAAACAGGCCCAATCTGACTGAAATAATTGTCCGCCAAACACAAACTCGTTAAATTCCCAAGCCCACAAACCTCCTCCGGCACATTCCCGTACATCAGGTTTCCGGCGAAACTCAAAACCTCAGCCTTCTTCAGCTCCCCAAACGAGAATGGTAACGGTCCGGTCAACCGGTTGCTGCTCGCGTCAATGACCAAAATGTCCTCCGAAAACCCAATCTCATAAGGGAGGCACCCACTGAACGTGTTATTAAGGAGCAAAACCTCGGAAGCACCCGACAATGCCGCCGAGATGCTGCCCGGAATCTGACCGGCGAACTTGTTGTTGGCTAAGGAGAGATAGTGGTATCGGGCAGCGAAAAAGTCGGGCAGCCCATCCGTAAATTCGTTGTTGTTAAGGAACAAGGCGTCGAGCTCCATGGTGAAAAGCTCCGGCGGGACAGAGCCGGCGAAAGAATTGAAACGGAGGTCCAAAAAAGACAGAGTCTTTACGGCCAGAATCGAAACCGGAAACTGCCCGGAGAAAAGATTGTTGCTAAGATCAAGCTCATAAAGGTAGGGCAAATTGGCGGCAAGATCTGGAGAAATGGTCCCTGAGAAATGATTTGAGTTTGCGTGGAAGATGGCCAGGTCAGGTAGCTGATTAAGAAATCCATGGAGGCTCGGGGCTCTGAGATGGAAGCCATTGAAGTCAACGGAGGCAAGAGCGATGGCTGACTTGTTGTCAGGTGGGCTTTCGCAGAAGAAGCCCGTGTAGTTGCAGACATTTGGGCCGACCCAAGTTTTGGTGACACCCAACGGGTCAGAAGTGATGGTCTTTTTGAATTTCTGGATGACAGGATAAACTTTGGCTATTCTGGGATCTGCAAAAACCAGGTGATGATTCTTGGGAGGTGTTTTCAGGCTGGATTTGCTTCCACTTCCGGCACCGGAGCCGGCGCCGGTGCCATTACATCCACAGCCACTTGTTGTTTTGATGAAGAAGGTGGCAGGGAAGAGCAGGAGAAGGGTGAAAGCCAAAAGGTGGAAGCTTTTTGTGACAATAATACAAGTTATGGTATTAACCATCTCCCTTAGCTCCGGCCAATATATGGTGGGAATTTAGGATGATTGTTTCCCAGAGGAATAGGGAATTGAAGGAGAATGATTTGAAATGCATGTTCACAGAGATAGAAGATTGCTACTGTATGTATATTTCAAAGGGTGGGCTAAAATTCAACAATCCAGCCGTTTACTATTGGATGCTTGAGAAGTGTAGGCAATTGCATTAAAAAGAGGAAGAAGAAGTTGATGGGTATGGAAATGTTATTAAGAAGTACTCCGTATTAGCTGTAACTTTAATAAAGAAGAAGAAGTGATATTGGAGCTGTACTATTGGAATTGTGTTGTGTAACATTTAACAATAATGGTCTTACTAGGTGGACACATCATCAATGAATTAATTAATAACAGCAAGATCTATTTCAAGATATCTTTGAAATGGGCAAATGATCAATCTCTTAAATTTTTGGGACAATTAAGAATTAGCTCCTTGATTCAAGCTGAAAGAATTGGAATCCAACCATGCATTTTGTTGTGACTATACTCATCAATGATATAATACTCCGCTCTCGATAATAAAACAAGTTTGAATCTTACGATACGATGATTTTACTTGGACTGTAATTTGCTGGTCTGAACTGGCCTGGTCTGGTTTCTTTTTATTTTTATAACTACCCAAGTCCGGTCCGGTCTGGTCTGGTCTGGTCTAGTCTGGTCTGGTTAGTTTTCAATATTTTTACTTTTTGGGTTGGGCTGGGTATTTTGGGCCATTTGGGGTGGTTTGGGGTGGTTTGGGGTGGTTTGGGGGTGAGGAGGAGGGTTGGGGGTTAACTAGGAAAAGAGAAAAAAAATAACTAAGGTCCGGCCCGGCCCGGAACCGGGGATTACCCGGGCCCCCCATTCCTGAACCGGAGGCCCAGCCCGGCCCGGCCCGACCCGGAACCGGCCCGAGTCCACCCATGATAGCAAGGCAACCCGGTGGTGTCAAAGTAGTCCGATGGTGGTGGATGCTGCAATGACCGGTGGCGAAGAAAATCTAGAATTTATTTGGGGTTGCCGGAGCTCCACGACCGGCAGTAGACGGCAGCGGTGCATTTTTGGATTTTTTTGAAGGATCATCAAAGTTCCAGCTGGCAGCGATACTGTAGCACTGGGGAGTGGGCATTAGAAAGGATCTATGAAGCACGGATACTTCCCTAGGGTAGCGTATCGGCGTATCGGATACGTTCCCGTATCCGATACTCTAGGATACCCGTACCGTACGTTCCCGGGGCGTATTTGCAATTTTAAAAGTTTCCATTTTTTTTGTAATTTTTTGAAAGTTTCCGATACTCGTATCCTGACGGATACCCGTACCAACTTTTAAAAAAAAAAAATCCCAAAATTTACTTTAATAAAATTCTAAAAAAAAAAATCTAAAACTACATTATATTTTACTTGTTAATCAAATAATGAGCCTATATGGCTATATCCGAATTAAGTCATTAACTCATACTCTGAAGTGGGTACTTGCACTTTTAATTACAAGATTGTAGTTGTTTGACTTATTTCTCGTTTTAAATTAATGACTTATTGATTACATTTATATTTCGAGATACACTAGTAAATGAGAAATATTATGAATTTATTAGCAAGTATCTTGAAAAAGGAAAATGCTTCAATGCAATGAGTGGGTAGACATCATAGGATATTATATGTATATATATATATTTTCAAAAAAAATCTATTTTAAATTTTTATAAATAGACCCCTATAACTTTTAATATTTGTAAATACACCCCCATAACTTTTAATATTTATAAATATGGCCCCGTATCCGTATCCTACTTTTTTTGGTTTTGACGTATCCCCTTACCCGTTTCTACGTTTCCGCGTACCGGTATCGGTGGTACATAGGAAAGGATAATAGCTAGAGGAGTATTGTTGTCCAAACACACACAAAACTATTTTGGTAATATTGAACAAATACTCTTATTTTTGCCTTTTTATCATGTTTACTCGTATATTGAGAATTAACTCAGACTAATACATGTAGACATTACACACCCAAATTACCGGTGTCTTAGACAAATTTGGTCATTTTTAAGATAAATTG